GTCCGTTCCATGAGACAGGCCATGGCGGACAGGACGTCAGACAGAATGGACTGACGCATACTACATGTCCTACATGGACTCTCCACAAAATCCACAGACCTTACGTTGCATTGACTTAATCCTTTATCCGGGACTGACCGCCCGGCAGATCCTCTCTTCACCATTCTCCCCGACTCTCTCCCCCCTATTCTGACACTTACACCGGTCGTTGAAATCGCTACAAGTCTTCTTCGAAGCTTACCCACACCGCGCACGACAGACAGACACATGTATGTCTGTATGTATCTGTATGCGTATTGCCCGCCCCCGCGCATTGCTTACCCCCATCAGTGTGGCATCCCTGCCCCTTGGTGATGGCCTGCATCTGCTGCTCGGCGGTGTGGATGGCGTCGAGGGCGCTCGCGGCCATCTCCTCGACGCTCGCGGCCATCTGTTTGGTCGCCTGGCTCATCTTGTTGGCCGCCACCATCATGGTCTTGGCCTGCTGCACCTGCTGCTGCACAAATGCCACCCCAGAGCCCTCCGACACCGCCCCTGCACACACAGCACCGCACCACCCCACACACACGGGAGATGGACAGATCCAACCATCCATCGCATCCGCCCATCCCATCCCATCCCGGCCGCACCTGTGTTGCCCGCAGCCATGCCGGAGATCTCGCCGGTGCGGTCCACAAACGACCCCCCTGCACACAGCAGCAGGTAGGACAGCCACATATGAGCCAGGAGTGATGGGTGTGCCCTAGATCTACCTCCCTCGGAGCCAACCATTAGGTACCTACCGTCGACGGGGCAGTCGTATCCCTCCTCACAGTCGCCACGCGTGGCCGTCGCCATGGCCACTGCCGATATGGCAGCCAAAGCAATGAGGAGCAAATACTTGGTCGCCATGCCCATCATCGCTGCCAACAAAGTGCTCTTTCCGGACGTAGGGAGAGATCTGACGGGAATCTGACCCTAAGCACGAAGCAGACCTGGCCGTAAATTTCGGGAGGAACAATCGCCCATCCGTGATCGCCTTGTGAATGTGGCCACTTATGTCATCGGGCGGCGCATCCATGTGAATTGATGGATGGATGGATGGATGCTGGAACGTGTATCTATGCGGAGTTGCGAGCGATGCCGATGAAATGGGACGCAGCGCGACTCTCAGACAGACAGACAGACAGACAGGCAGACAGGCAGGCAGGCAGGCAGACAAGCAGGCAGGCAGGCAGGCAGGCAGACAGGCAGACAGGCAGGCAGGCAGGCAGGCAGGCACACAGACCGCGCACACAAGGAAGTCAGGAAGGAATGGAGCCGGAGGAAGTCAGGAAGGAATTTGACGGTCGACGTCACGGGCTCATTCAAGGAGAAGGCTATCCACTGCCGCAGCAGCTTGTACTGTTCGAGGCGCGCCCTCTGAGCGAAAAAGGCCGGTGAGGACCTTTCCTGTAGTTAGCTGAATAGAGGATCTGCTGGGCGGTAAGTCCCAGAGTAAGAGTGCTTTTACTTTAATAAGACCGATGGACTGGCCAGTCAGTCAAAGTTGTTTCTGTCCATGTATGGCATCATGAAGGGTGGTCAACACAGATCTCACTTCGGTGATGGCT